TAAAATGTAAGCTATTGTTGACTTTGTCACGACAACTAGCTAGAAACCCTATCGTATTTGACGCTCATGACAATGATATCTTAGCTAACAACGAATTTATCTATAAGAATTGACTACATGTTTTTATTTATTCAACCCTCTTCTTGAGATAAAATACGAACATGAATTTTCTACCACCCAATTTGATGTTTGTCCACCACCAGTGGTATATAACGATCATCGCTTCCTCAAGCATGTCCTATTTAGAATGATTTACAATATGATGCTTTGTCACCTAGTATACAACCTGATAAAATTGCGACATTAATCAATGTATTTTCCAATCGTGGTAATGTGTACACATTAAGGATTTTAATATCACTATCATATGACCACAAGGTAGACTCGCATCCACTTTCTATATGTACAAATCCTTTCGTATAAATCAACAATAAAATTATTTATATTGTCACATACTTTAATATTGAATTTAATGGTGAGGAATATATTTCAAGTTAGACTTCACCCGCTAAGATTGAGTGCAGGAAATGTCTACTTTGTTTTCCTTGCACAATATATTGTGTTGTTGATGTCAACCATTATTTCCTTCAATCTATTAACAAACCTTTATTGGCTTTGTGATGATTTTGATCCATTTGTGTTTTTGAACAAATGCGTTTTTCTATAAATGACTGAACTTTGAAACGTCTAATATTTCGAGCTAGGTTCTCCCTAATTCTTCATTAGTAGCTTTTAGAACAACATATTGTCTTAAACGCATCGTTTGTAGAATTTTTTTTTATTTTAGTCTCAACGTGCTCTTCAACAACACATTTTAAACCAAATGTTGGTTTTAGATCTTCTTTGTTTTGGAACATTTGTAGCTTTTTGACATTGATAGAATATGTGGAAACCCCGTAAATTAGGGTTATATATATATATATATATATATATATATATATATATATATCTAGGTTACTATGTTTCTTACATTTATTGTGTACTAGAATGCACCAATAGAATTTTAGCAAAATTTAATAATTATTTAATTAAATAAAGATAGGTATTAAATGATTTCTATAATTGTATGTACAATAAATGATATCCATAATTATAATTGTCTTTTTTATGGAAACTAATTAAATTCGTCATTAATGTCAGCAATAACATTCTTTCAGAATGAATTCGCATCTAAGTTTTCATGTATGTGTTCATGTTTTGTTTATGGATCAACTTACATAAAATACAACATAGTTGCATTGAATATGAAAAACGAAAGTGTATTCAACTATAATACACTCTCATCCTGTTAGAATATAGTCGCATTCTTCTACAATAAACTCTCATTCTACTAGAATACACTCTCGTTTCCATGTTCTAGGAAACTTTATTGTATTTTGAGTGAGTGGGTCACGAAACAAAATATGAACTCATACATGACAAAGTAGATGCGAATTCATTCTAAAAGAATATTATTGCTGATATTAATGACGAATTTAGTTAGTTTCTATAAAAAAGGAATTATAATTATGGATATCATTTAATGTACATATAATTATGGAAATCATTTAATATCTATCTTTATTTGATAAAATATTATTTTAAAAATTCTTACTGGTGTATTCTACCTCTCAATAAATGTGAGAAACATTTGAAACTCTCTCTTCTCCTCTCTCTCTCTCTCTCTCTATATATATATATATATATATATATATATATATATATATATATATATATATATAGTACAAGGTTACATATGAGCCCTTATACAATACAAAGATATAAAAACTGAATAAACTATCTAACACACCCCATAGTTGGAGCAAGAGGATCTCAAATGTTCAAACTATTTCTGAAATCCAAAAGTAATTGTTTAGGTAGGCCCTTTGTAAAAATGTTTGCATGCTGATAAGCGAAGGGGACATCTAAAACACATACATGACCAATCGCAACACGCTCCCTGACAAAATATAAATCTATCTCCACATGTTTGGTTCTTTTGTGCTATATGGGGTTGGAGGCTAAATGCATGGCACTAAAATTATCACAAAAGACAACTATGGCACGAGATAGGGGACAATATAATTCGAGAATGTGATTTCTAAGCCATGCAGTTTCAACGACTACATTAGCTACCCCCGGGTACCCGACTTCAATGCTAGATCGAGATATGACATTTTGGTACTTGAAGGACCAGGAGACGAAATTGTCACCAAGATAGACACAAAACCCATACATGGACCGACGAGTATTATGACAACCAGCCCAATCAACATTGGAATATGAGAGTTAATGATCAACTGGTGAGCAACGAATATGAATACCATGCTTTAAGGTACCTTTAAGATACCTAAAGATGCGCTTAAGAGCGTGAAAGTGCAAAACACACAGGTCATGCATGAATAAACATACCTACTAAACATATAGGCAATATCAGGACGAGTGAATGTAAGATATTACAAGTCTCATACGAGGCATCGATATAGAGTTGGATCAGAATCGGGCTCACCATCAGAGGAGAGCTTGGATTTAGTGTCAGTCGGTGTGCTGCAGGGATTACACACAACCATATCAACACGATTAAGGATCTCCTGAGCGAAAAAGGATTGTAAAAGAAAGAGAGAGGAGACAATACGAGTAGCAGCAATTCCTAGAAAGAAGGAGAGACTAAGATCACTCACTGGAAATTCCGAGGAGAGAAGAGTGATAACCTTGATGATGAGAGTCGAAGAAGAAGCAGTAAGGATGATATCATCCACATATAGAAGAAGATAAATAACATATTCACCACGATGAAAAGTAAACAAAGAACTGTCAGCTTTACTATTATGAAACCCAAGAGAAGAGAGAGAAAGATAGAAAAACGTTGGTATCGGGCATGAGGAGCTTGTTTGAGGCCATAAAGAGTCTTACGGAAGAGACAGACATGATCGGGAAGCTAAGGATTAACGTAGCCTAGAGGTTGGCACATATAAACAGCTTCAGTTAGATCCTCATGAAGAAAGGCATTTTTGACATCAAGCTGATGAATAGGTCAATTCTTAGAAAAAGAAATGCTCAGGACGGTATGAATGGTAGTAGGTTTGACGACAGGACTGAAGGTGTCATCGAAGTCAAGACCAGGTTACCGGGAAAAATCCTGAGCAACAAGTTGACCTTTGTAACGATCAAGGGGACCATTACTGGAAAGCTTGTGATGATACAACAAACGACAACCAACGATGTTGGCGTGCATAGGTTTTGGAACAAGATCCCATGTTTGATTGGAGAGAAGGGCGGACATTTCTGAGTCCATCGTAGCACGCCAGATTGTGTTACACATGGCCTAAGCAATGGAGCGAGGAATAGGAGAGACATCAAAAGAAATAGAAAGATTAAAGATCTGGTGATGTCTTAGGGGACCAGTGTGAGATCTGGTAACCATTAGATGAGTAGGAGGGGGAGGGAGCGGGGAAGAAGAAGCAGGAGTTAAAGGAGAGGATCCATTGGTAGGAGAAGGAAGAGACAATGATAGCAGGGCCTCGATGGAGGTTGAATCAGGAGGGTCTAGGGAGACACTTGGGGAGATAAGACCATAGGAGGAGGACATCATATGGAATGAGGGAGTCATAATCTGTAGATGTGGGTGAAGGATGAAAGTTAGAATAAAGGAAGTGAGTTTAATCAAAAGTAACATGACGAGAAATAATGACCTTTTACGTGAAAAGATCTAGGCATCTATACCCTTGATGATCAATAGAAGGTCCAAGGTGTCCATGCAGAGGAACGAGGTGATAGTTTGTGAGTTGCAGTAGAGGATAGATTTAGGTAACAGAGGCACCCAAACACACACAGGTAGAGAAATACCAAAAAGAATTTTATAGGAGGTTTTGAGATGAAGGGTAGTAGGTGGTAAGAGATTAAAAGTATGAGTAGCGAAAAGAAGAGCTTCAGCCTAAAACGTATGAGGTAGAGAATCTTGAATTAAGGAAGTGCACATAATATTGTTGATGGTGCGGGTGGTGCGCTCGAATTTTCCATTCTGTTGAGAGGTATAAGGACGTGAGAAACGAATTTTTATGCCATGATCATTAAAAAAAACCTAAAAGCGGCTTGTTGTTGAATTCATAGCCATTGTCACATTGAAGCAGTTGTATGTAAGTTTTAAATAGACTAAGAACATAAGCACATAATGTTTTAAAAATAGAGAATACTTCAAATTTGGCACGTAACAGAAAAAATCTATAAAAAATGTGAATAATCATCTAAGAATAGAATGTAGTATTTGAAACCACTGAGATGAGAAACATGAGATGTCCATAAATCAGAATGAATTAATTCAAACAGACGACTTTAGTTTGAGATAAAGAAAAAGGTAAAGGAAAATGTTTTCCTAGTTGACACGTATGATATAAAGATGTGTTTTTATTTGGACAAGAAATAAAATTACGTGACTGAAGAAATTGAAAAATGGAGGCGCTTGGGTGACCGAGTCTTCGATGCCAAATGTCATAAGAAACAACAACAAACACAGAGGATGATTTACAGCTAGCAGGAGAAGGAAGAACATGATAGCGATCGGAATGATTACTGTCGTAGTGTTGAAGGGTAGTACCTGTGTTAAGATCCTTGACAATGAAACCAAACGGATCAAACTCAACAGAAACAAAGTTGTCAATGGTAAATCTACGAATGGAAATAAGATTTTTTTACCATCTAGTAAAAAACGAGAATATTTTTGAAAGTGAAACGATTATTAGAAAAAGAAAAAAAAAAGATTGAGCTACGGAATTGACAGGAAGTACAGTACCGTTACCAACCATTATAAATTTAGAGTTAAGTGGAGTTAGAGAGTGAATTATACCTTGGTTGAAGGACATGCGAGAGCTTGCTCCAGAATCCATTTAGTAGTTGTTGTCACGAGTAGGTTGAACCAACATAGCTTGGAAGACGGAGACGAGATCGATGAATTGTTGATGTGAGGCTTGACCCCTAAAGGCTAAAGAGGGAAGGTGTTGTGTCGAAGGTGTGGAGGCATATAGCTACGGAGGAGGGCTTGCATAAGGCTGCTGAGAAGGCAACAGGTACTGGTGATGATGACCGAAGGTAGGAAGTAGGTGGGGAGGCTGTTGAAGCATCGAGTAAGCAAGATTAAAGGGATGTTGCTTGATGTCGAGAGTTATCAACGCATGCTGATGAGTAGTGACCGCAGCAGGAGGTTGCCATTTGTTTTGAAGCCAGCAGGAGGTGGTCCGAGAAGGCTGCCAAGTTGCATAGGAGGGGCAGAAACACCATTTTGAGCACCATAGAGAGCATGAAATTGACCTGGTGATCCTTGAGAACCTAACACAAAAGAAGCACTAGAGGGGACATTTGTGTTACCCCCCCCCCTTTGGAAGCACCCCGCCCATTATTTTTTCCTTTATTAAATTTATTTCGATTTTTTCCATGGTTTAAGGAGGAGTATAGTGAAGTCGATGAAGTAAGTGGCAAATCCTAAATAGAGTTGGTTGCTTCTTCACGAGACTCGTGAAGGAGAAACATATTTTTGGCTTCAAGAAAAGATGGGAATGGATTTATATTAGTGATAACATCGACAATATTGTGGTGGGAGGGAGATAGTTGGCGTAAAATCTACATGATCAACTCGATCTCATCAACGTTTGAACCACATTCAGCTCATGCTTCGACAAAGTTCTTCAAGGAATGACAAAATTTAGTAATGGAGGAGGACTCTTTCTTTGTGTTGGTGAATTGTTACTGAAGTTGAAGCATCCTTGACATCTTGTTGTTGAGGAAGAACTCACCAAGCTTATCCCATAGGTCTTTAGAAGTGTATGTCTCACTTGAAATAATTTGCAAGAGATTTGCCTCGCATGTGGAGTAAAACCATAATTTAATTCGAGAATCAATAGCCTCCCAATCTTGATCTTCATCTCCTTGAGGTTTGGATTTTCCCGTGATATGACCATGAACCTTTGCACCTTTACACATATCCAAAAAAAATTTGTATTTTGAGCCATCTACAGTTAATTTGAAACTGAATTTGGAATAAACATTATTCAAGGCAAACACCAATTGGCTAGCAGTGGGATTAGAGTTGACGACAACAGAAGATCTAGCAGGTATGGTCATTGTGAACCAGTGAAACCCCCCACCCCCCCCCCCCCCTAAAAGAAAAAAAACTCAATATAGACAAGAAATGAAGGACAAGTTGCAAACCTTAGGTTGAAGCAACTTAATGCACCTTAGAGCCTCCTGTGTATCGTAGTACATGCTGCAAACAATGGAGGATCTGATAACTGGGACAACAACAATAAATAGCAAGCAACAACAGAAAGCAGCGATAGCAACAACAAGCAACGACAACTGGAAAACAGTGACATCAACAATTAATTAGCAACATCAATGAAACTATCAAAAAGGATGATTGCGGCTGATATTGTTTGTGAAGCACATGTGGGTCAAAGGAGGAACAGAGGATTGATTAAAGTAACTAACAAGTTTCAATCGGCGAGAAAAAAAGGGGGAATTAGTTTTGATGAGTCGTATATTAGGGTTTTTTGGTGGCATTATACCATGATAGAATATGTGGAAAACTCATTAATTAGGGTTCCATGTATATATCAGTATATATAGTGTACAATGTTACATAAGAGCCCCTATACAGTACAAAGATATAATGGTTGGCATGCAACAAACTAATGGCATGCATGGGATGATGTGAAGACATAATCTTTCATTGGTATTTGTGAATACATACATAGAAAAAACTGCTTCTCCACCACGTCATTTTTTAACCTCGAATTATAATTTTTAAAATTACCATTATCAGATCAGGTATAACATTACATGTTTTCAGTATCTTCCAATGTGGATTTAAATTTGGGTATACCAGCTATAGACATTTTTTGGGGTTGAATTCCAAAAAATAGACAAAAAAAATCGGATTTCCGGGTATAGACATGGATTTCGCGGAGGTGAGCTCTGAGGACTCCGCGGAATCCACTATAGCTCTGCGGAATGTCAAAATCATAATTAAATCAGGGTATTAACAAAAAAAATCGAAGAACAGTTCCGCCGAGGTGCCTCCGCGGACCTCGTTAGCAGCTCCGCGGAACTGTTCATCGAGTGTGTGTGTGTGTGTGTGTTTTTGCGTTAATACCCTTGATTAATCGTATAAGTTATAATTATTACAATCCTCCTCATTATACCAAAAAAGAGGGAATAATCTCATTATAATCTTCTGATATCAATAAATGATAAACCTCCTCATTATATTAATCAGTTTTATAATTATTACCAAAGTTGTAGAACTCGCTACTCGGTACCTGCTCGGCCGACTGGGGAGTAGCGAGTACTCGGGGAGTACTCGATTTGGTAATTCGTGTATAAATATTTTTAGGAAAATTATATATGTCAAAATCATAAGTTAAAATCATAATTTGATTGAAATATATAACAATATTAGATACATATGAATACATAAAAACTGAAGTACACACAATTGTCTCACTTCGTGAATAATCACTGAAAATTTAAGATATATATGTAGTAATAATCACATGTGTGTGTTAAATAATAAATCATTAAGTGTATTATACATATTAATCTTGAAATTCTTGATTTTTTTCTCTTTTTATGACAATTTTGACCCTTTGACCGAGTTTGACCGATTTTGACCGAATTGGCCGAGTAGGCCCGAGTAAAACCGAGTAATACCGAGTAGGCCCGAGATAGAGAGATGTTGACCGATTTTTTACCGAGTTTGACTTAATCTGAGTTTTTTTGCCGAGTTCACATTACTCGCCTCGATGGAGGGCCGATTCCAAGTAATCAGCCGAGTAGGCCGAATTTTGCAACACTGATTATTACAAAGAAAATAATAATAATAATATGATATGTTGACTTAGTGGGACCAAAAGAGTGAATAATCATCCAATCTTAATAAGATATCTCATTATAATCCTCTGATCTTAATCTGGATTATTTATGAAAATAATAATAATAATAATAATAATAAAACTTTATGAACAATTCCTCGAAGCTGCTAACGAGGTCTGCGAAGGCACCTCCGCGGAACTGGTCAACGAGTTTTTTTTTTCTTTCTTGAGTTAATACCCCTGATTTAATTACAAATTTGTCATTCCACGGAGCTACAGTGGATGTCGCGGAGCCCTCAGAGCTCACCTCCGCGGAATCCATGTCTATACCCGGAAATCCAATTTTTTGTGTCTATTTTTTGGAATTTAACCCCAAAAAAAATGTCTATAGTCGGCATTTTCCCTTTAAATATGAATAGTCGAGTAGGGGTGTTCGTTTGGATGGATCGGTTTGATTCGATCCAATCAAGTGAATCCAATTTGATTTCGGTTTTCAAAACATGGATCTGAATAGTCCAAACTAAATTCAAAATCCGATCTGAACCGAACCAATTATAATTCGGTTGGATCGGTTTTTATAATTCGGTTTTGAAAAACGAAACATTTTAAAACGACATACGATTATAATATCACCCAACTTTATACAAGAAGCAAAAACAAATTATTTACTTGTGCTTTGAAATTTATAAACAACTAATAAGAAGATATATTATAGTTAAATATTTTAGAGTAAATTACACGAATGGTCCCTTTGGTTTGGGGTAATTTGCGTGTTTGGTCCCTAACTTATTTTTTTAACTTGGAAAGTCCCTACTGTTTGTTTTTGTTACGCGCTTGGTCCCTATTGTTTGTTTTTGTTACACGCTTGGCCCCTGTCTTACCTAAAAATACTATTATTTAAATAGGGAAAAATGATAGGATAGGTAAGGTAAGGTGAATGGGGTGGGGTTGGGGTGTGTTTATTTAAATAAATTAAAAAATCAAGGGCAAAATAATTTTTTTAGGTAAGATAGGGACCAAACGCGTAACAAAAACAAACAGTAGGGACATTCTGAGTTAAAAAAAAAAGTTAGGACCAAACGCGCAAATTACCCTAAACCATAGGGACCATTCGTGTAATTTACTCAATATTTTATAAATAGAAAACTTTTGAGAGAAAATGCATATTAATGTTTTTTTTATCGGGTGAAACGTTTTGAACCTTTTTGATAAAATAAATTACAAAATTAATAAATAACTATAGATATATATTAGAAATAGATAAATAATAAATGTTTATTCAGTTTTTTTGGATTATTCGGTTCTTATTTTATAAACCAAAACTAATTTGAAATCCAAAATAATAATTCGATTTTGTGGAAAACCAATCCAAAAATCCGAATATCCGAACCAAATAGTCCAATCCAAATTGTCCACTTGGATAATTCGGTTTTATCCGAATAGTAAACAGTCATATCGTCAAGTACCTCGTCAAGTACCACTAATATGTCTCGATAATCAATTCCAAATTAATCAACCTTATATATCATCATCGTCAACATAACATATTTATCTCTTACACAACATCCATGGTCTCCATAGTATGGAAGAAATTAAATATTTAGATGCTTCCAAGATCTAACTGATTTCACCCGGTCGATTTCCAGTAGCCAATTGATTTACATGGAAATTATTTCCACTATGGACAACAAAACAATGCTACCATTTTGATAATAAACAAATTACATCTATAAATTGGTTGACACAATTGTTGCTTATTAGCTCGATAATATATTCATTTCAAGATGTCGAAAAGGTAAACAATTTTATTATCTTTGACCAAACCAAAAAAGTTTATAACAATTCAAATTTATATCACAATTTATAAATTGTAATGTTTATTTGTAGAACAAAGTATGCTTGAAGACTTATTGATGTTGAAGTTGGGGATTACATTTACAAAATTATTCAAGGATAATATTATATTTTTAGATTTTTTTCTGTTTAAACCTAAAACTTATTTTATTTAAGAACAACTATTACATTTTTTCAATTTTTGGTTTTTAGCATGCTTACCAATAATCTTCAAGTGATTGAATATATATATATATATATATATATATATATATATATATATATATATTGTGTTATTGTATGCATAAATGTGGGTCAATCAATTTTACTTAAAAAGTGGTTAATATATATTATTGAATTAAATATAATTGAAAAATATCATCTAATTTAATTACAAGGGTATTTTAGTCAATTAATATAGATTCAATAAAGGAAAATTGCATATTTTAAGGGATCATAGATTCTATTAGCTTTAAAAATCTGATTTTACGAATTATAATTCTTTTAATTCGGACATTCTGAGAGAATGTGTTTTTGAGTATATTCAAAAATAAAAATATTCTTGAACCATAAATAATAAAAATATTCTTGAACCTATTTCTTGATCATGACTTTAAAAACTTCTTGTAGAATAACAAATTCTTGAACAATTAATTGAAGAATAAAAACAAAAAATACATTATTTCTTGTAGAATACGGGTAACAATTGTTAAGAATTACATATATTGTTAAAGAATAAAACTAAAAAAACTTTCAAAACGGGAAAGAAAACATCAAAATCTAACAACGACACTAATACATTCTAAAAGAATAATGTTGCTTAGAATCACTTTCAATTTTACGGTCCGTTCTTCAAGCATCAACTTCTGTGAAAACAAAACCAAATTGTAGTTTAAATTCCAACAGAATTGGAATTCATGATTCCATTCCAACAGAATTGTCATCATTATATTTACCTGTTTGCAGAATGAAAAGACACAAAAGAATGGAAACAATTCTTCAGACGTATGTCTCAATAATCTAATCTCCGCATTCCCAAGTGAAGCCGGTTGACCAAAAGGACCATCAAAGTCAAAAACTTCAACATCCAATAACGACGGGGGTTCTTCTGCAGCATCAAATTTGATTATTTCTACAAGAATTTTAGCAACTAATTGTCATCAATTTTCAAGAATCTTGATAAAATCAGTTAAAATTTTGACATCGAACAAACCATTACATTGTGGATCGAGAGTTTGAAGCTTGACAGAACTTGTTCTTGTCTTCCCATTGCATGGCAACACTACAAAAGGATCTGAGAAACCGGGAAACCATGATATAAACACGCTCCAAGTTGAAGAAAATTACTCCACACGTAACAAATTCACCAAAACTATCAGGCAATTCAAGCCCATTAAACTCTAAACCTTGAATCTGATTCGACTCACATAGAAAAATATGCACAAAAGCATAAACAACCATGAAAACAGTAGAAAACACAGTGAAATTACAAAAATACCCCACCCCCAATTCCCAATGGGATTGGTGATCATTCAGCAAAGCCTCCAACGTTTGATCTTTGTCTAATACAATCAACTGATTCACGGGTTTGACTCTTTGACCAAGCAATCCTGCAAATTGGTCAAAACTCTCCTTCAATCCTTGTTTAGCACCACCTTCAATCATACCTTTCAGGCGTTTCCTTTCCTTCGTTTGCTGATTCCATGGTTTCCATCGATTCTTCGAAGGTTGTAGTGAAGGCGGATTCTTCTGTTGACTCACCTTTGTCGGATGAAGTTGTGGGTAAATCTGATGAATCGTATTTAATGGAGGATTCATCGTGTTTACTAAAAAGCTTCTCGAATCGGCCCGCAATGGCTTTCATCATCTTTTTGGTGATTTTGAGGTGTTGGAATCGTGTGTTGGGCTTTGTCTGCCATCGTGTTCGTCACTACTGCCATTGGTGATGATCGGTTGTAAGGAGAATTGATGAACGTTTGATATGTCGTGCCCTCTCCCATGAAGTGAAAGTGCAAGGAGAATCTTCCGAACACTGAAAGCGTCGATGCTTGGGCTTTATCGGGTGGGAGATTGAAGACACGCTTATTTATTTAGGTTATAAGCATGATTATAGGGATTATTTTTGGAACTTACTAAACAAATTAATAAATTACCCTGATTCATTTATTTAGTTATTTAATTTTTTATTTAGTTTTGATTATCCACATTTATGCATACAATAACAAAATAATTACTTTAAACACCTGAATTTCTCTCTCTCTCTGTCTCTCTCTCTCTCTCTCTTTATATATATATATATATATAGATATATATATATATATATATATATATATATATATATATATACATACTGTTCTTATTGATGGTACTACTTATGTAGGTTATTTTATGCTAATTCGTATTATTAATAAAATTTATCATCAAATTTATCAAATATCGTCATGTTTTGTGATTGTGATTGTTCCATTAAAAACATTTAAAGTATAATGAACTGATGGTGAGGTTTTTTTTTTTTTTTGTAATTTATCTTTTACTAAGGTAATATTTGTTTTTTTATCATAATATCTCATCATGTAATCGATTATATATATATATATAGATAGATATATATATAGATATTATATATATATATATATATATATATATATATATATATAGGGTGAGGTTCAATAGAGAAACATAATTAACCAAGGAACCAAAGAACCAATCTTTTTTTTCAACTTTTAGAGCTTATTTTTTATCAAAAAAAAAAAAAACTAAAAATACAGAAATTCATAACTTTTTATCCTTTTTCCAATAATATCAAATTCGAATTTTTTTTTTACATCAAATTCACAATGTGAATCTTTGAAAATTCACAATGTGAATCCGGATTCACACGGTGAATCCGAAAAATATTTTTCACATTCACAATGTTAATATATGAATTTAGATATTTTTAGATTTTTTTTTCGATAAAGAATAAGCTCTAGAAATTGAAAAAAGGATTTGGTTCCTTGAAGAACTAATAATTATGGTTCTCTATTGAACTTTTCCATATATATATAATATATATATATATAGATATATAGATATATATATATATAATATATAGATATATATATATAATTTATCAACAAATATTAAATTAATAACAGAACACTCTTAAAATTTTTGGCGTGATGCATTTGGGTAGCATGTTTATTGGAATTAAATAATAAGTAAACGAATGGATTTATGAAGTTGTGACAAATGAATGATATGGAATTAGCCGGACTGATGGTGTACGGTGTCAAGTGGAGTTTTTCACGAATCACTACAAATTTACAATCATAATCTACCCATCATTTAAGTATTTTATTGTTTTTATTATAAAATGGTGTCCAAAATAATAAAAATTTTGTAACTTTGTTTTAGTTTTTTGTTGGTATTAATCAGTCCAAAATTCGTTAAAACCTACAATTGATGTTAGTTTTAAGGTTAAGTGTCATCACACGTAGCGCATGTGATGGGCATTTTGGTTAATTTTCACCCTATCTTTTAGTTGTTTTTCAACTTCTCCATCTTTCAAACTCCCTTTGAAGAAACCCTCTCACCTGGAAACCTTCACTGCTTTAAAAAACCTCATATCAGGTGAATAAAAACCTTCACTCAGTTACCTACTTTGTTGGGGAAAAAAAGTTTGTTGGTGGATATATCTGATAATTAAGAACTGGGATCCAATATGATTCATGTTAACTCGTGCAACAATATTTGAACAATGTATGTGCTTCGGTAGTATTACAAAATCCACTCTAGTAGAATCCAATCGAGGATGGAAACTTCAAGATTTGCATGTCCTAAAAAATGTGTGGTTTTATATTTTATTTAAGTAACGTACTTCTTTTACCTAGCGGGAAATCCCTAAAAACGAAATCCAAAACACGCTCGGGTTTTTAAATGACTAAAATTTGAGTACATTATAAAACATAAACACTAACACAATCAATCAAGAATTTAATATTTTTCATTCCTTTTCAAATTTAGTTTAGGCTAACCTGATTTCAACGTACACCTTTGTTGAGGTGATGAAAGTTGCTTTCAAGAATCCATTTGTAATACCTGACAAATAAACTAGTCTGTTAAGAGGCAAAATATAGAACCCCTACAGAATCCAGTAACAAGGGTAGAAATGGAATAAGAATATTACTGTTTTTGTATAGGGGACATCTCAACACGGAGAACATGCTCAATCTTTGGGGGCAAGGACTTCTCCACATCCTTTATAACTCTTCGCAGAATGTGCGGCCTCAACTTCATATGAAGATTTGCAAGACAAATTAAGTATAAAATATAATCTCATTAAAATTTCTCTGGTTTAGTAAATGGGGGATGTTTAGGTAGGGTTATGGAGGAGAGAGATCGGTGTATGAGTGTGAGATTCTATACCTTATACGAAAAAAAACCCTAAATCGCTATGAGAGAGGAGCGAGGCATGAATCGAAAATGGTGAGAACCACTGAGCACAACACCGGCGGCGACAATGGCCCTGTAAGCACAAAACCATTCGATTTTGGTGAGAAGCGAGGGAATGAAGATGGAGTGAGGCCCTGAATCGTTTCACCACTGGTCAATCACATTGATGAATTTAAGCATTCTAATTGGATATGATATTAGAACCATGGAAACCACTCAAGGGATGATTGGATTGATATTAGAACCATGGAAACCACTCAAGGGATGTTAGAAAACCAAACCCAAATCATTATATCTCATCAATTTCTACATTGGATTTTTACCTATTTCACAAACTCGATTTCTAGGTTGAAAGGGAGAGAAATTATACCTTACAACACTTGATTTCTTCATAACTAGCATCAGCTGAACCAAGAGGACTTGAGATCAAATTCTAGGAGAAAAGAAAGATGAATATCGCCATTGCAGCTTCTCCTTGATACAAAACACGTTTGGAATGGGATGGGGGAAGGGAGTGTAACGTCCTAAAATTTAACGCCAAAAATTTCGTTTTAATAATACTAAAACACTCATCCAAAAGGTGTTTCATAAAACCATAAAAGAAAATCACAGTATATCAATAATTATCCAAATAAATCAAGTCAACAAAATGCGAAACAACATGGTGTGTACGATGCGATCACCCCGAGCTCTTCCCCTTTAATTGGAAAGTACCTGAAACATGTACAGAAAATTGTAATCACGAAGCTTAGTGAGTTCCCCAAGATACCTCATACCATACATATCAAACATACAATGGGCCATGCCCAACAACCATCGAGCCCCGCTGGGAACATATCTGTTAATAACATATGATGGGCCCCACCTCTTCACATTCATCAAGCCCCGCATGGCATCGGACCCCGTCCGACATTCATACAGACATATAAAATGTTGGATTAATGTCTAAGTCCATATAATTGGTATGTACTTGACCCGACCCGGCATGGTCCATTTGGGTTGCATGACATCCGAACAATTGGATAGACAAAAAAAAGAGAAAAAGGATACTAGTGATTTATATTAATATATTATAAGTTCTAATATATTAATATAAAATCATATTATTTAATTAGTATTGATCAAGAATTAATTTAGAATTAATTTAGTGATAAAAAAGAACTAATTAAATATGGACTCTTACATATCTATGTGTGGTGGGCCAAGTTCATTTATGTTGGGCTAAGCTTTCATGGATAGTCCATGGAGTATTTGACCCATGGATCCTATGGAAATGAAAGGTCATGAGTATTAGGGTTTACATGAATGTAACTCTAATCGTCCACTCTATATAAAGAGGTCCTTGGTTCATGAAATGGGCACTAGTGCATAGATATGAGGGAAAGGCCGATTTCTTAAGAGGGAACCTAAGTATCCTTATTCTCTAGTTATTCCAATTGTTGGTGGTGTTGTGTGATTCCATTTGAGGTGCAACACTTGGGGCACTAAGCTCTTAAAGGTTCAAGACTTCAAGCTCCATCAAAAGGTATGTCATTCTACTAGATTATTGTAGTATAGTTACTTCTTATTATGCTAGTTAGGATGAAACCTTGGAATATAGAATATTTGCATGTATAATAGAGAAAACATGGATCCAAGGTTTATGGGGTTGCATGCACACCATAGGAGTGTTAGAATGCTCAAAACCCATCAGTGGTATCAGAGCCTGTTTTTTTTTTTTCATTTATACTTGATGCAAACTTGTTTTTCAAAGCTGAGAATCTGCCCAGACTAAAAAACTCGACGAGTTCTGGCTATAAACTCGACGATTTCATGTGTTAAGGCATGAACTCGACGAGTTCTTGCAAGGAACTCGGCGAGTTTGGCTTCCAGTTGGCAGTTTTTCATGTTTTAAGGATGGAATTGGTCTAGAATCATTACCTTAAACTGTTTTGGACTTATAAAATCTGTTTTTAATGTGGTAATGATTATGGTAAACCAATTTCGAGGTTGTTATCAAAATTTCAAGTTTTATGTGTGTTTATGTAATTCTTGAAATTGTTGATATGATTGTTCATACACTTATGAGTTTTGGTAGATCATAAGAATTATTTGCAAAATTGTTTGTTAGTTAATTCTTGATCAAAATGTATTTTAATGGAGTCCATAATTTGTCCTCAAGTTATGGATTACCAAAAGTCATTCCTTTTAAAGATTCATTAAAATGCAAAGGTTACGAAATTGAAGAGTCTTTTTGTTTTATGAACTCCATAACTTGTCCTCAAGTTATGGATGTCTAAGAGTCTTTTCCTTAAAGTTTTAAAAACCTTAATTAAACTCATAAGTTATGAAAAGTTTTGAATAGTTCAAAACTTGCCCTTAAGTTTTGGAATTTGTAAAGTTTC